TGGGTAGACCTTAAGGGAATTTGATAAGTTAAATGTTAGACATAGAAAGGTGAATTTCACTTATATGTAGCATCAAACTCATAGACACAGAGAGTAGAATGGTAGTTTTCAAGGGCTGAGGGGTGGAGGATTGGGAACATGTTGTTTCCAGGGTAAAAATATTCAGTTGTGTGGTGAATGAGTTACAGGGATCAAAGAAATAATATGTTTTGTATAGCTATTAATACTGTAATGTATACTTGAATGTTGCTATGAGAGTAGTTCTATAATATTCTCACTGTAAAAACAACAAAATTCTAATTATGTAATGTGAGGAAGGTATTAACTAACCTTATCGTGGCAAATATATATATTTATCAGAGGCCCCATGCACAAAATTTGTGCATGGGGGGCCATCCCTCAGCCCGACCTGCACCCTCTCCAAACTGGGAGCCCTATGGGATTGGGCCTAAACTGGCAGTTGAATATCCCTCTCGTAATGTGGGACTTCAGGCTCCTAACTGCTCACCTGCCTTTCTGCCCTAACCACTCTGCCTGCCTGCATGATTCCCCTAACTGCCCTCCCCTGCCTGCCTGGTTGCCCTTATTAACTTTTTAAAAAATCTTATCCCTTTCACACACAGCTGTATTTCACTTCCTTATTAGCTTCTCCATCTCACACAATTTCTCTCTCTCCTTTATGTATTTTTTTCCTACTGACTCATCATTCATAAACTTCTTTCTTCCTTATTTCCTACTTATGTTCCATCATCCTTCTTCTCATCTTTTTCCTACCATCCCTCCTTCCCCACATTCCTTCTTTCTTTTATCTTTACTCCTGTCCACTCTTCCCTTTTCCTTCCTTCCCACCCTAATTTTTTCTTCACTTCCTTCCTCAGACCTGCTTTGCTTCCTTCTCCATTTCTTCCTTCTTCCTATTCTCCTTTTAAGCTCTACTATCTCCCCTTGAAAACTTTTCTTCATTCCCTCTTTCTCTCTCATCCATATTCTTCTCTACTTACTTACTATTTTAATATTTATCTACCTGCCTAATTATTCACTATCATTTATCTTTCTTTTTCTTTTCTGACTTCTACTTTTAAAATCTGTCCCCAGTACAGAACTATACTAGGTTTTCTTTATAGCTACTACAGTTCACTCACACATCCTCTTTCCTTCTTTAACTCTTCTCTCTACTGACGCCTTTATAAAGTTCTTCCCTCCCTCTTTCCCTTCTTAAAGCTTCCATTGAGGGGGGGCCATTAACCCCCAACCCAGGGCTCAGCCCCAGCCAGGTGTTTGCTGCCCCCCCTTCCCCGGCCTCCCCACTGCTGTCCTGCTCCTATTCCCTGCCCAGGATTCCCAGCCCAGCAAGGGTGGCCCCCATGGACTGTGCAATGCTGATGCAAAGCAGGAGCTCCTCCACCCAGAAGGCCTCAGACCATCCTCCACTCTGTGCTGGACCAGTGGGCTTCTCCCGACAAATGGCCACCACCAACCTCCTCCCACATCTGGTCAGGGCTCCCTGCTCCAGGTGCTCTTGCTCTACCCCCAACAAGGTTGCCATTCCCTTCTGCATGCAGTTTCCTTCCCTTTTCATTCCTTCGTCTTTTCCTTGTTCCCTTTCTGTATTTCTGTTTCTCCTCTAGGCTTATCTGCCTGCAGGCCTGCCTTTCTTTCCCTCTCCTTTCTTATCCCCTTCTATCGTATCCAATCCTACCTCAGGTCTTGCCTGAGCGGAGGGTGGAGATGCAGCCTGCTGATCTGGTAGTGACATGACACTGTAACAGACAAAGTTGAATATTCCTCTATTATTAGATTAGATGTATTCAATCATCACACTGTACACATTAAACTTACAAAATGTTATGTCAATTATGTCTGAATTAAGTTAGAAGAAAAAAACACATCATTTAACATTAGCACCAAAAATAAAATAGGTATAAATTTTACAAAATGGTACACAAGTTATATGTGAAGAAAACCATAATCTGATAAAAAAAAAAAAAAAGTATCAAAGAAGAAATAAATAAATGGAAAAGATATTCTGTGTCCATGGATTGGAAGACTAAATATTTTCAAGTTGTCAGTTCTTTCCTACTTGATATATAGAACCAATGTAATCCAAATCAAAATCCTAACACATTATTTTGTGGATATTAACAAATTGATTCTAAAGTTTAAATTACTAGGCAAAAGACCCAGCATATCCAACTCATTATTGAAGAACAAAATTGGAGGGCTGACACTACCCTACTACAACATCTGCACTAATAAAAGAGAATTGACAATTGACAGTACCTTCGCTATGCCCACAGCCAATCAGGAGTGATATACAAATTAAGCCAACAAGGATGGAGGGTAATTTGCATATTCAGGAGGGGCAGGCTGTGTCTGACTCTGCTGCAGGGACCAGTCTACCATAGGGAACTGGGCAGGCCAGGCAGGCAGTGCCTGACGCCACTAGCTGGGTTAAGGCCTCCATCGGTAACCAGGCAGGCGAGGTGGGGTTGGGCAGCAGCGCCTGAGCCACCGTTGGGATCCAGGCAACCATTGGTAACCGGGCAGGCCTGGTGGGCAGTGCCTGAAGCCACTGGGGTCCAGGTAGCCATCGGGATCAGGCAGGAATGGCGGCAGCGCCTGATGCCACCTGCGGGGTCCAGGTCATCATCAGAGTGCGGGCAGACCAGGCAGATAGTGCCTGACTCCATCGGAAACCGTAAAGGCATGGCTGGCAACACCTGACGCTACCTGTGGGGTCCAGATCACCGTCCGGGACAGGGATGCAGCATGGACGTTACCTGACACTGTCCGCAGGGTCCAGGCTTCCATCAGGACCTGGCAAATGATATGTACAGCGCCTGACATCACCTGTGGAGTCTAGGCTTCCATAAGGACCTGGCAGTTCCAGTAAGCAGCGCCTCTGCCCAGAAGGCCTGAACTCCGCCTAGCGGGGTCCAGGCAGCGATTGGGACCAGGGAGGCGGCATGGACAGCACCTGATGCTGCCCTCAGGGTCCAGGCAGGTGGTATGGACAGTGCCTGACGTCGCCTGCGAGTCTGTAAGCAGGGGTAGCCAGGGTCTCAGGGATCACTGTCTGAACTTGGGCCGCCTGAGGGCACTGGTGGAGCAGGCCTGGGTTGAACATTTTAATGAAAATGCGATGCCTGTGCCCTACCCCACAGCACCTTGTCCCTGGAAAGGAGAGAGAAATAGGCAGTTAGGAGGCACTAGGGCTTTGAGATGGCTGGGTACAACCTGCAGGGAGCTACCAGGAAGAGGTGCTGAATCATGAGGATGCAGAGGGCTGGCTGATGGAGGTGAGCAAAGGTTCAGATGAGGTGGCTCTTACTAGCGCTGAGCTGGAAAAGTGCATTGAAAGCCTGATGGACAAAATCGCCTTTCTGAAGAAGGTGCATGTCAGTATGCTCAGATCTCCGAGGAGATGGACGTGTTCTCCAAGTCCAACCTCTCCACTATGCTCAAGGACATCGCGCCCAATATGAGAAGCTGGCTGCTAAGAACATGCAGAATGCCAAAGAATGATACAAGAACCACTTCACCATGCTGACCAAGAGCACTGCCAAGAGCACCTACGAGACGTGGGCCAGTGACTGCTCAAGGCCAAGACCCTGGAGACTGAAGCAAGCTGGGGCATGAATGAAATGCTGGGAAAGCAGCTGCAAGAGCTGGAGAATAAGCAGAACTCTGACATTAGTGCTATGCAGGACACAATCAACAAATTAGAAAATGAGTTGAGAACCACAAAGAGTGAAATGGCAAGATATTTAAAAGAATACCAGGAACTCTTCAATGTGAAGATAGTTTTGGACATTGACATTGCAGCTTACAGGAAACTCTTGTGAGGAGATATGGTTCAGTTTCACCAGTGTGGGAAGCATAGCCAGCACCTAATACAGAGTTCCCAGGTCTTTGATAATCTACCTATGGTGGTTTACAGACTAGGTCTGTCTTGATGTCTGCTTGCTCCTTCCTTTCTTAATACACCAGCCACATCCAGGAGGAGCAGATCAAGGTGGAGAAGACCATTGAGGCTGCAAAAGCTGAGAAAGCTAAGGATGAACCCCCTTCTGAAGGAGAAGCTGAAGAGGAGGAGAAGGTAGAGGCTGAGGAAAAGGAAGGAGAGGAAGAGGAAGAAGGTGTCAAGGAAGAATATGAGGACACAAAGGAGGAAAAAGGAGGTGAAGGTGAAGGAGAAGATGCCCAAGAAGCTGAGGATGAGAAGAAAGATGGAAGGTGCTGGGGAGGAGCAAACAACCAAGAAGAAAGATTGAGCTCCCCTTTCCTTAATTACTTCAGAAATAATCCTCCCCAAACCAGGTCAACCCCATCACCAACCAAGCAGTTGAGTTTCTAATACTATATGAATTAAGAAGTCAATATATATAACATTCTGAGGTGACTCTGGTGGGACATTACATTTTATGCTATGACTTTTCTCCTTATGCAGAGTATCTGTTTGCTTGCAGAGTGGCTTCCTGGCTTGTTGCCAGCCTGTGCATGGTCCACGCTTATGAGTTTAGGATCTATGACAATATGAATAATTCAGATCTTTATAATAAAAATACATGAGTACATGAATTCACTAATGTCATTGTTAAACTTCATGGAAAAATAGTCCTTTAAATCTTTGGTGGTTAGAAATTAAAGACCTCAAATCATGTGCAATAAAAAGTAAATAAAGTTACACTGAATGACAAAAAGAAAATACATTAGGGGCCAGGAAACATTCAAAGAACTGGGGAACCATTCCCAGATCAGGAAGGGAAATCACAGGGTGTATATTATTGCTACAAATACAGTATTTCTTACTACTTACAATATATACAATGTAATGTATTAGATGCCTTCCTATCGCAAGAAGTATGTATTCTCATAGAGCAATACTGGTAGATATGTTATAGTTATGGCAGTATGTCGTATCCTATCTATTGTATATTAATAAAAGGGTAATATGCTAATTAGACCATGAGACCTTCCAGATGTCCTTCCGGACAAAGCCATGGTGGCTGGGTTGAGGCAGAAGTGGTTATGGGTGATCAGGCCAGGAGGGGAGGGCAGTTGGGGGTGATCAGGCTGCCGGGGGTTGAAGTTGGGGGCAAGCAGGTCAGCAGTCAGTGTGGTTAGGGGAGATCAAGCAGGCAGGCAGGTGAGTGGTTAGGAGCCTTTAGTCCCACATTGCGAGGGGTTTGTCCAACTGCAGGTTTAGGCCCGGTCCCACAGAGGTCCCAGATTAGAGAGGATGCAGGCTACGCTGAGGAACACACTAGTTTATTATAAAACTACAGTAAATCAAGATAGTGTGGTATCAGTGGAAAAAACAACAACACACAGACAGATCAATAAAACAGAGAGCCAGAAATAGACCCACATACATGCAGTCAGATGATCTTTGAGAATAAGCAAAGACAATTGGGCAAAGTTAATTTTTTCAACAAATGGTGCTGGAACAATTCAACATACATATGTAAAAAAATAATATAGACTTATACTCCTCACAAAAATGAAGTGAAAATTGATCATAGACCTAAATGTAAAACACAAAACTGGAAAATCCCTAGTAAATAACAGGAAAAAACTTAGATTACCTTGGGCATCATGATTTATTTTTAGATATATCAGCAAAGCATTGCCTATTAAAGGAAGAACTGATAAATTGAACCTCATTAAAACTAAAATCTTCTGCTCTTAGAAAGACAATGACAAGAAAAAACTCAAACTGGGAGAAAATATTTGCAATGGCAGGTTTGACAAATTATTATCCAAAATAAAATAAGAACACTTAAATTCAATAATGAGAACACAAATAACCTGATTAAAAAATAACCTGAACACCTGAACATCTAGATATCTTACCAAAGAAGACATACAAATGGTAAGTAAGCATGCATCATTAGGGAATTGCAAATTAAAATAACAATTTGATACCACTAAAAACCTGTTAGAATAGCCCAAAATTTTAACACTGACAACACCAAAACTGGTAAGGATATGGAGCAACAGGAACTTTTATTCATGGATGATGAGAAAGTAAAATGGTACAGACACTTTGGAAAAGAGTATGGTGAGTTCTTATACAACTAACATACTCTTAATATACAATTCAGAAAAGATGTTTCTTGTTAATTATCCAAGTAAATTGAAAACTTATGTCCATAAAAAAACTGTACATGGAAGTTTATAGCAGTTTTATTCATAATTACCAAAATTTGGAAACAACCAAGATGTTCTTTGGTAGAAGAATAGATAAGTAAACTGTGATACACATACAAAATAGATTATCATTCAATGCTAAAAGAAATTTAGCTACAAGCTGTGACAAGATATGGAAAGAACTTAAGTACATATTGATAAGTGAAAAAAGCCAATCTGAAATGCTACACACTATATGATTTCAGCCATATAAAAAAGACAAAATGGAGACAGTAAAAAAATTAGTGGTTTCCAGGGGTTAGGGAGAGGGAGAGATGAATAGACAGAACACATGGATTATCCACTCTAATTGTGGATACATGTCATTATACATTTGTGAAATCATAGAATGTATAATACCATGAATAATCACTGATGATAGTTATGGATTTTAGGTGATAATAATGTGTTAATGTGGGTTCATCAATTGTAGCAAATATATTAATCTGATATGGAATGTTGATAGTGAGGATGGAATGTTGATAGTGAGGATGTTATATGGGGTGAAAGCAGGGAGTACTAGTATATGGGAAATCTCTGTACATTCTGTTCAATTTTGCTGTGAACCTAAAGCTGCTCTTAAAAATAAAGTTTAAGTTAAAAAGACAGTAAAAATTAAAAAAATCAAGCTTTATATTTTGCCTATCTGCCCTTTCCATGGCAGACATGATGACATTAATGCTTTTAATCTGCTTCTTACATGAGGTCATTTTATTAAATTGCTAGCCTACCCTCTTCAGTTTGGTTGCAACCTTTTCAGAGTTGTGCACATCGAAGATCCATGTCCTGGGCACTGATCCAAAAAGGTCATTAATGCTACCCTAGAGGTAGCAGTTGCCAAAAGATTTATTTTCAACCTATTCACACAATGATAATCAATGTTTGTGTTTTCTAAGAGTGTTTTGCAATGCCTATGAAATTTTATATAACTCAAAGTCCAGAAGATAAAGCAATTTGAGTGTAGCTAGACCAAAGAGAATTTCTAAATAGAAATAAGTCTGTCAAAGCCAAGTTTCCCAAGGATATTAATGAAGTCTATATATCTGCTGCCTTGTAAATAGTATATTAAAGATTTCTCATAAACACCCTTCATGGTATGCCCTGAGGTTGTTACAGCTGTACATTAACTAATTTAAATATTTTCATTTATATTAACTCAAGAATTATTAAGTTCTAACTGGAAAGAACTCTCCTTTTGAATTTACATGACTGATTCTGATTAATCCAAGAAGTAACCTAACAAAATAATCCTGGAAATTGCATGCATGAATTACAGACAAGTTACAGAAATGCATACTGAGCATCCCGATTTGGGGAAAAAAAAAAAAAAGAAAAAAAAAAAAGAAAAAAAAAAACTGGGCAGAGAGAGAAAATGGAAAAACCCAAGTAAGTCAAGGTCCAGCTCTGAGTTTCAAGATCTTAATTAATAATAGGCAAACATGTAAATTGATCGTACCTCTGCTATGCCCACAGCCAATTAGAGTGAGTACGCAAATTAGAAGGCCAAAGATGGTGGCCTCCCAGCTGCTCCAGGTGTGGAGTGTCCAGGCAGAGCAGGACGCCTGCTATGAGGTGGGGGGGGGGGCGCGAAGGATCTACAGGAGCAGCACTCCTGCCTCAGGGAAGACAAGACAGCAGACTCTGGAGTGTGCCACAATGACAAAGAAGGCAAAGAAGGGAGACTCTGGTTGGAGCTAAGGCCTGGGTCTCAGATGTCAGAGGAAAACCGGTGCTGGAAGCTAAGGGAATGAAGGCCTATTGCATGAATCTCTTCATGCAATGGGCCTATAGTATTATATAAGAGGGATATTTGATAAGTACAACCTCAAAGCAATGGCAGGATATAAATTAATGCATGTGTTAGTTTGAGTCAAATAGGGATCTGAAGCCAGAGAAGGTAAGTCATGTACTGTATTTTTTTCAAACTTTGTATTCATCCATTCATAGCAAGATTATTTTTTAAATATATATTTTATTGATTTTTTTACAGAGAGGAAGGGAGAGGTACAGAGAGTTAGAAACATCGATGAGAGGGAAACATTGATCAGCTGCTTTCTGCACACCCCCTATTGGGGATGTGCTCACAACCAAGGTACATACCCTTGACTGGAATCAAACCTGGGACCTTTCAATCCACAGGCCGATGCTCTATCCACTGAGCCAAACAGGTTTCAGCAGCAAGATTATTTTAAAAATCATATAAAGAATCCCCTGAGGTTCCCTTGTGGGGCCCTAAGAAACTGAAATTTGTAGTTTTAAAAGTACTGGGCTAGGTGTCCAAGACACTTTGAAGCAGTGGTGTCAACCAGTGGATTCTAAGAACTTCTGCTTCCTTTCTTGTTAAAGATTGACCAGTAGTTTGAGCTAACGGCTTGAGCTAGTCAGTAAGCAAAGCAACTTTGTTTTCATAAGTCTGTCATCCATATCCATTACCAAGTTCTACCCAAATCAGACCCATGGCTGAGAAGCAGGTCAGTTCATTTTCCTCTCATTGATAAAAATGGCAGTTTTTATGACAAAAATCAGAACCTCCCCCAAAAATAAAACAAGGCAAGACAAAAATATGTTTTTAAAGTTACCATCCAGCCTAAATACCCTTTTTAGTCAAACCCAAACTTGCTCAACAATGTGAGGCAAAATATTTGAGGAATAGCAACACAGAATGAAAGAATAAAAAAAGATGAATGCTCTTTTAACTACATCTCCACTCACCCTATACATGAAAGAACTGAAACCAAATGAACATTTTATAAGCAGAATTTAAAATTTTAGGAGTTTGTATTCAATATCATATTCCTAAGGCTTTTGTGGGCTTGGATGGGCAACAAATGGGCAAGATCTTGATCATTAAAGTCCTCCTAAAGGTATCTCATGCCTAGCAAATTATTTCTGTTATCAATAAAACGTGTGTTGCTTGTATGTGAGGGATGACTAGAACAGCAGTGTAAGATGGGAAGAAAGCCTCCACTGCTTAGTAGGATTCAGTTACTATAGGCACCCTCATTATTGGTGTTTGCTGCTATGATGCCAGCTATTTCTCAGTTTGCAAATAATCTGTATATTATGGGACATAGATGGCAGATAGTTTTCATTTTACATGCCAAATACAATTAATCAGTAATGGCCATCTGTAGTGCTCTATCAAGAATGATTCTGAAGTTTATTCCAGACAATAAGAATGCTGTGATTTATTTGCAATGTCTGCCATGGGCACAGGAATGGGGAGGGGCAGCACTTATTCAAGCATCTTCAAGTTTTGAATGAGCATAAGCAGTGCAAAAAGGTCACAGTTTTATAGAAGAGTCAATCCCCTCAGTCCCATTGGACTGGAGTGAAAACAGGGATTCCTTGAGAAAAAAGTTCTAAACTATCATCTTAAAATGGCTCTTTTTCCTGTAGGTAAAGCTCACATTGAAACAAACCACAAGTTTGTGCTGTATAAATCCCATATTGAACATCTCTAGTTACGTTAAATATCATTTTCTTGACTTCTTGTTTGGGCCTTTTTAAAAAAAAAAAAAATCTTGTTTCAGGGGATGAAGGTGTTTCCTACAAATATCTTTTTCAGTTCCACACAAAGACCCATATCTTCTCTGCCTGTCATGCTCAAATGGAAAAAATTATTTAGAGTATAAGCGTATTGCTTTGGATCCCATATGTCATTTAAACTTTGGATTAGTTTTTATTAACCAATATTTCATTCACTATTCTGACTATGCTATTTTGAGTTGGTAATGTATTTTTCTTCTCAAATTGTTTTCAAGATATTAAGCTATAAAGATTATTCTTTTTAAAATATATTTTTATTGTTGACTAGAGGCTCAGTGCATGAAATTCGTGCATGGGGAGGGGATCCCCTCAGCCCAGCCTGGAATATCTCTAATCTGGGACCCCTCAGGGGATGTTTGACTGCTGGTGTCAGCCCAATAGCTTGGTCATCCCTCACTAACACCCCTGCTGGCCTGGTCACACCTAGCACTGGCAGTTGGAGCTCTCACAATCCTGGACCACTGGCTCCTAACTGCTCATCTTCCTGCCTGACTGATTGCCACCAATTGCCCCCCACCCTAGCCAGCCTGGTCACCCCCAACTGCCCCCATCTGCAAGCCTGGTATCCCCTAATTGGCCACCCTGCCTGTCTGGTCACCCTGCAGTGCCCCTCCTGCTGGCCTGGTCGCCCTCAACAGCCTCCCTGCTGGCCTGGTTGCCCCACACTGACCCTCTCTACTGGCCTGGTCTCCCCTTACTTCCCCCCTCTGCTGGCCTGGTTGCCCCTCACTGCTGCCTCTGCTAGCCTGGTTGCCCCATACAGCCTTCTGATCAGTCATTTGGTCGGCCCTCGCTAGCCCCCCTGCCAGTCTGGTTGCCCCATGCAGCCTGCTGTTTGGTCATTACTGTGAGGGCGTTGTAACCAATTTGCTTATTACTCTTTTATTAGTATAGTTAATATTATGGTAAATCTCCCATACCCCCCCCCCCATTTACTCTCTCCTCTCAGTGCTTACCCATTCACCCCCAGGTCTTCATTACCCTATGGCCCGTGTCCATGGACTATGAATAAAGAGTATTCTTAAACATCTCTGTCTAGTTCCTCTTATGATAGAACTTCCCTGAAGGTTTGTTGACTTAGTCTTTTGGTGAAGAGTTATCTTCCATAAATTATTAGCTGTGTGACTTTAGACAAATGAATTCACCTAAGCCTCAGCTTTTTTTACCTATAAAATGAGAAAAAAAATAGCATATAACAGGGTTGTTGAGAGCAAAGCACTTAGGATTATGCCTGTCTTATAGTAGTTTGTCTATAAGTGTTTATTTTTGCTATTCTATTTCCTAGGAATAATATCATTTAGCCTAAATATTTATTTGATAAACACCTGAGTATCTATTTCTATTCAGATTTGCTATTTTGAGACAAAAGGGTATATGAGAGTACTTTCTACATGACAAGTCATTATAAAAATGTCTCCAGTAATAAAATGTTTATATTTTTATCATATTTGATAAACTTGATTCTGAGGTTGATTCATCGATTCTATGTACTTAAGGACGTGGAGAGTATTCTGCTAAGTGAAATAAGCCAGTTAGAGAAAGACAAATACCATGTTATCTCACTAATATGTGGAATCTAATGAACAAAATAAACTGATGAACAAAATGGACCCAGAAGCATAGATACATGGAACAGACTGGTGGGTGCGTGAGGGGAGGAAGGGAGGTGGTGACTGGCTAAAGAACATATATACATATCCAAGAGACACAGACAATAGTGTGTTGAAGGCCAAAAAGGGGAGATATGAGGGTAGATTAAGTTGGGCAAAGTGGGGGTGTCTTCAATAATGTCAACATAAAGAAATTTTAATGAAAAATAAAAATATATAAAATGAAAAATAAAGTAAAATGTATTTTAACTTAAAGACTGCATAAGATCAGTATTATTTTCATTCCACATTGTATTTAGCTCAAAATATAAGTGGCAGAGCAAGGATATAAATCATATTTGCTTGATGCTACAGCCCATGCTCTTAACCACTTTACAACACTGCTTAACATACGTATTTCCTTGCCGGCAGGACAGCCCTCCATTCTTGTCAAGTCTCATGGACACTTCTACCTTTCCCTCCTCTCTCAACTCCCTCCTTTAACTATTTCATATTAAAAAGTATTTATACTAATAAAAGGGTAATATGCTAATTACACCAGACATCTTCCAGACAAAGCCATGGTGGTAGGAACCTAGGCAGAGGCAGTTAGGGGCAATCAGGCTGGCAGGGGAGCAGTTAGGGGCATTAGGCTGGCAGGCAGAGGTGGTTAGGAGAAATCAGGCAGGCAGGCAGGCGAGCGGTTAGGAGCCAGGGGTCCTGGATTGTGAGGGGGCTGTCTGACTGTCATTTCAGGGCCAGTCCCCTGTAGGGTCGGGCCGAAACTGGCAGCTGGAAATCCCCCGAGAGATCCTGAATTGGAGAGTGTGCAGGCCAGGCAGAGGGAAACTCTCCTTCAACCCCGTGCATGAATTTCAAGCACTGGGCCTCTAGTCTTGAAATAAGAAAATGAGTTAGAAGGAGTTGGTGGTGACTATTTTCTTAGTCCATCAGTCCAACTGGAAGAATGTGTGATAGCCTTAGTATTCTCAGACCCTACCTGAACTGAATGTGTCTGCCCTCGGTTCATCAAGGTGACCCACCAATTGTTTCACTGCCATCACTAGCAATGTGCCCCTACTTATACCATATCTACTGGATGAATTATCTGAAGTTATCTGGAGAGCTGTGTGAGTGGTGGAAAGATATAACAGGGTTAATCAATTTCTAAGCATTTCTTATATTTTATGGAGATTCGTATAGAAATTCAGAAGAAAAAATGTCACAGACACCTACCCACTCTCCTAATGACAGTTTAGCTCTTCCCAGAAAAGAAATTTCCCATTTCTGGGTGTGAATGTAATTTTTTCTGTGTTGGAGCCCTACCCTCTAATCTAGGGAAGCTGACATTTCCCTTTCTCTAAGAGGATGAAGACATTGGTTTGACAAATTTTCTTTGCCAGAAGCTCTTTTTCTTCATGGCATATGGTAGCCTGGACTGCATCTGTTCTGATTGCCAAGAGCTTCACAATCCTTTGGAGAATCTTTATAGACAATGGGTCTAAACTGTGAAACTATCCTCAAGGTCTTTTCTTACTACAACAAGAATATTAGGCCCCCACGCCTTCCTACAAGAGTACATTTGTCACCTATTGCAGTCACTGATGTAAATACCCAAAGAGACATAGATGACCCTATATGTAATTTTATACCATTTCAAGTAGCTTCATACTTTATTATTAGGCCACTAAGACAAGAAGGGTAAATATCATTGTGCTTCAATATACAAGGAAATTTGAGTATATAAAAACTATTATTCTTTGAAGAAAGTAGCAATTTCTAGTGGATGCAAAATTAGAATTTAGGTTTCCCTACTCTCAGCATTTTGGAAACTTTACTACATCAATTCCTTGAATAAAGTACAAACAGGCTGTCTTTCCCTATTTCCCTAGACATACCAATACTTATATGCTATGATTTCCTTCATTGCTTAAAAGTCCTGAAGGTTCCTAGAGTTCTGGTTGAGAAACTGTAGCCACCTAGAACCAACTACACATTTGGAGAGGTTCTGGAAAGAGCTGATCCAGGGTTCAGGGTAATGGCTGGGTGCACAACTCAGTGCTGTTTGGTTAAGTGTTGTTAAGTCTCTTCTGTGCCCTAGTGGCCAATTATACCTACCATCTACCCATTGCTTACCATGGACCAGACAGAATGCTATGCACGTCACAGAGATTACCTCATTTGTACTTCCTAACAACCCTATGAAGTAGGTACTACCTTTAATCCTTATTCCATTAATCCTTATTCCATTAAATCCTTTAATCCTTTAATCCAGCTCTCAACACTGCTGCCACCCCAATATTGCAATAATAAATATATTTTAAGTGTTCAATGACAAAAACTAGTAGTTGAGAAGTTGATTTATCATTTGTGTCTTCTCCCTCACTTGCCTGATTTCTTTTTTTCTTTTTTTTATTGAAAATTTATTATTTTTATTTTTATTTATTTTAAAAATATATATATTTTATTGATTTTTTAAATTGATTATGGTCTCACATAATTGTCCTTATTCCCCCATTCCCATCCCAAACCCCTCCCTAGATATGCCCCCCCAAACCCCCATTGTCCATGGCCACTGGCTAGGCCCATATGTATGCACACAACTCCTTTGGTTGATCTCTTCCCCTTCTAGGGGTGTCGAACTCAATCAGAGAAGGGGCCAAAATCTAAAATCCAGCCTAAATCGCGGGCCGAATGGTTTACTGAACAGTCATAAACTGTCATTGTGATGGAAACGCAGCGGAGTGCAGTGATGACAGCGTGGTGCGGGCCACATTGCAAGGCCTGGCGGGACGGATTTGGCCCGCGGGCCTTGTGTTTGACACATGTGCTTTAAAAAGTATGATCACAAATTTTTGCAACCATCACCACAATCAATTTTAGAATATTCCCACCACCTCAGAAAGAACATATCTGTAAATTTTGGTGATGGTTGGTTTTATTTTTATTTAGTGGAGAGTTGAGTAATGCCTGATTCCAAATCTATCCTGGCCAAAGATCTGGTGCAGGAGATGACAAACTCAAAGGCTACAGAGACCAAGCAGATAACATTAAAGTGTGACCCAGCCACAACACTGGGAGGGACCATGGGAAATTAGAAGGAGCATGCCTTCTAAAGGAAACAACTGCAAGTACAGTAAGCCATGTTGGAATGCGGAACCAGTTGTTTTATCCAAAAATAAGCCAGAAATATGGAATTTTAAAATTCCACATTTTTTTTACACGATAGCAACTAAAACACATTTTTAAAAGCCACATATACGGGCAAAACACATACTATCTTTGGGCTGGATTCTAGTCTTGGGTTACTGGTGTGTGATCTCTGTATTTAGGAAACAAGGACACCTTTCAAGTTTCCTTTTTCTTCACACTTTCCTTTTCTTCTACCAAACTGAAATTAGAGTTCTCTGGCTTAAGGACATTGATTTCACCCTAATATTTTTGCCCTAATATAAAGATATATAATAGATAGCTTCTTGGGTAATGTGTTACAATAATCCTTCTTTCATAATGGTCCATCTCAAATCTGTGCCCATCTCTCTGAAAAGATAACTGAATAGTATATCCCTTGTGGTTTTTAAGAGAGACCTTAACAGATTTATCTTATTGGAGATCCAAACCTAATGCCCAGACTCAAAATTTCCTTAGCAGTCATTCTGAAACAAAGTGCTTCTAGCTCTCTCAGCCTCTCATTGTATCCCTAATATCATGGAGTATCCAACATTGACATGTCTCCTCCGCCTCTGAATTACATTGTCCACCAGGTGCTTTCACCAGCCTTTCACCATCACGGCTAATTCTAAGGTATACACTTGTATGAATCCCTACCTTAAAGGTTGTGTTAAGCATTAAAAATAATGTGCACCAAATTCCTAGGATAGATAGTGCGTGGCACTTAGCAGGTGCTCATTAAAAATAAAGTACTTATTATGATTCTGTTAGTGCTTCAGAGAAAACAGATTTCTGGTGAGAGAAAAAAATAGCAGCTTTAGGCCAGCTCACCTTGCCATCAATAGGAATGCAAGGTTTCTGAGATGCTGAGGTCCATCTGCAGAATGAAGTAAGTAGGCATAGCCCTTCCCCAGTCTGCACTCACATGGCCCTTATATCCATTTTTCTTAGTACACATGAGAACACATGGCTTTAATTAGAATACTAGCCAGTGTTATAGATATTTGTGATGCTAAGCTTTCCAGGTGGAATAAATATTAGCCTGGAATAAATATTTATTCCAGGTGGAATAAATAACAGCTCAGCACAGTATTTATCCTCCTGGCAAGTCCTTTGCAAGTGCTGTTCCTATAGGTCCTTATCTCATAGGCATCAGCTCAGCAGGAAAAATAAGCTGCAGTTTTAAAGAACAACATGGTATTTTTATACTCACTACTAGAGGTCTGGTGCATGAAATTCGTGCCTGGGGGGCATAGCCCTTCAGCCCTGCTAACACCCTCTAAAAATCCGGGACTACTGGCTCCTAACTGCTTGCCTGCTTGATTGCCCCTAACCACTCTGCTTGCCTGCCTCATTGCCCC